GTATTTGAATTAACATGAAAATTGAAAATGGGGACTAAGAAACAAGTTTTGAAATAACACAGTTGTCAGTTTCATTATTTAGCTAATAGCAAATTAGAAAAATACTCAAAAATGATTTGGCATTACATGAAATAGGTTTTTTTTTTGGCTACAACTATGTACCTGTTGTCATAAGTGCCGATTTGATCATGGAGGAACTCCATCTATGATGCACCGATTTAATAAATGCAGCAGCCCCGCTGACATGTGGGCAAGCCATCCATGTTCCAGATCTTAAATCAAACAATGATGGTGCCTTTCCTATTGGAACACTTCCATCTTCCTTGTTTGGCATCGTTGCCGCCAAAATTGCAACACCCGGAGCCATTATATCTGGCTAAAGAACAAACAGTTATTAAGGTTTAACCATATTGTAGCCAATCAAAGGAACAAAAAACAAAAAAAAAAAGATAGGCGACAAATTTGACCTTGAGAATGTTTTGTGTAAGCCATCCGGGACCCCTTGATGAGAAATAAGCAACAACAGGAGCTGGTGTGCACTTTCGAATTTCAGTTGTTGGAAGTGTGGTTGCAGTTGGGTTCCTAAATCGATGGATACAAAAATGTTTTGACATAAAATTTGTCAATATAGATCCTTCAAAAAGAAAGGTAAGCAAGAATAATGATTTTATAAATAAGTATGATTAAAAATAATAACTCACTTGGTAGAGTTAATGTAATTCAGAATTTGAGACCCTACAATATTCCCAACTTCAGAAAATGGGAAGATTCCTGAATTGAATGGTAAATCTTTCTCAGCTTCATCGATCAAAATTAGTCCTTCGGCTTTGTCACCTTCAACCACTAATTTTTTGATTGACCTTGGTATAGCTCCTTCAGTATATGTGCAGACAATTATTTTTCCTGCTACTTTTGTTGAATTTAGAGATCCCGGATAGCAGTTCCTGCATTTTCAAATGATCAACAAATTATTTCTCCACAAATGGTGTTAAATAAGAAGATAAATTAGATTTCATTTTTACTGATGCCTGGCATCTGATAATGGTGCAAAATCAGAAGCAACTTCTTCTGCAAATGCTAGAGGATAAGTCTTTGAGCGAGTCAGGTTTGAGAAATTAATTCCAGATCCCTAAAAGATGCAAATACATATGAAATTTAACATCATTGAATCCATCAATACATAAAGAAGAAAAAAATGGATTCATATCATCATACTTGGAAAATTTTCCCATTTCCAAGAACTATGGTCGACTTGAAATCGCGATCAATAGTAGAAGCTGCAACACTAAACATCCACGGGGCAGAATTGACGACAGTAAAAGGAGAAGGTCCATCGTTCCCTCCAGAACAAACTACCGTAACTCCCATTTGTTCAGCATGAAAGGCTCCAATGGCTATAGTATCATGCAAAAGGTCTGATTGATAATTCATTCCAATGGAAATTGAGATTATATCAACTCCATCTTTAATTGCATCATCAATGGCTTTGAGTATGACTGAACCAGAACAACCATCCTTTGAGCAAGCCTTGTAACTAGCAATCCTAGCGGAAGGTGAGCCACCTCTTGCTATACCCTTTGCTAGGCCATAGTAATTAGCATTTGGTACTGTTATACCAGCTGCAATAGATGTTGTATGAGTTCCATGGCCATTAAAATCTCTCGGTGAGCCAGTGATGTGACGAGTCCTTTTAAGATCAGAGTTTGGTTGGATTGAGAAATCTTGGATGTTGTAGTATCTGGCTGCTATTATCTTCCTGTTGCAGACCAAGATCATAAAAAATATCTGAGAATTTCTATCAATAGCCATGTTAGTCTAACTCGAACTTATTATAAGGGTATTCTGATAGAGTAGAATGGCGAAAAAAGATCCATATAACCGGCTTCACTTGATTGGGATACAAGGCTTAATTTGGTTTGGCACTATCACCTGGGAAAAAAAAGATGTATAATTACCTATGAAAAATCTAGAAATCCCCTAGATATTGATTTGTGATTATGTCCTGGGAAAAAAAAGATGTATAATTACCTATTACAGCTAGACTTGTTAAAGTCAGGTCTTTCCATGCAAAGTCCCTTCCATCTTGAAGGGATTTCTCCAATGCCATCATCATTGAAACTTGGAGACTCAGGCCATATCCCTAAAAAGTAAATATAATCAAATTAGAAAGAAAAAACTAGTCCACAAGTACCTAACATTATCAACAATATATCTAACATTAGTTTCTAATTTAGATTAGCAACACTTAATAATAAAAAAACCCATGATGCTTAGACATAGTATTAGTATATGGTATATAATTGAAAATTATAAATATGTGGAAATGCAAAAACAGTATAGAAGGTATTATTACCTGTGTCTATCACTCCGATTATGACATCGCTTGTTATGTGTTGATATTTGTGTGATGATGGAATGCCAGATTCTGATTCCAAGAAGTCCCAAGATCTTGTTGTATGAAGTTGAAGTATAGGATCAGGGAAGATGGATACAACTTCGTCATGGCCTGTTTTCACAATTTCATGAATTAATTGATTAATCTATTATCACTTCATTTGAACAATCATACTAATGTAGATAGTGTAGACACAACAATAAACAAATTGTGAATTTTCAAGTGTGCCATTGTGGGTGAAGTTGTACAATGTTCCTTTGGAACTTTGGAGTGAAGAGGGTTTGGGTTACATAGCTAGCATCTTGGGAACTCCTCTTTATTTGGATGAGCCAACTTTCAAGAAAAGCAGACTTACATTTGCAAGAATTTGTATTGAAGTGCCAGCAAATAAAGAGATCCCTAAGTCTTTCAAAATAAATCTTGGTTATGGTGACCCATATGAGATTCAAGTTGAGGTACCATGGAAGCCTCAAAGGTGTGATGGTTATAAGACTTTTGGCCATACCACTAATTTGTGCCCTCAAAAGCCAAAGTCTTTGAACCCTCCCTTCTTCAAACATGAGTGGAGAGTCAAGGACACTAAAACACAAATTCTAACTAAATGGGAAGTGGTGAAGAAAAAGGGGAGAGATAGTGGGCAAGGTTCAACGCCATTGATCAACAAAGAGAGAGAGACGCAGTCTTCTGTCCCCTCAACATCTAATGCCTTTGATGTCCTTGAATCGTGTGATATGGACGAGTTAGGAAATGGAGATTCAAGTCAAGAGTTGAGAAATAGAGGGAGTCCATCTCCAAGTGATCCTAGTTATGGGGAGACTTCAAAAGAGGATAACAGAAGAAAACTTAAAGCGAAACATCATGACTTGAAGAATGCTAGAAGGAAATTCTGAATCCTTGTTTTGTTTGAGTAGTTTATTTTGATGGAGTAGTTTATTTTGATTATTTTTGTGCTCCCATCAAAAGCTGTGTATTGAATTTCATTGTATATCTTTCTTTTTTGGTTATAATATGACTTACTTATCGAAAAAAAAAAAAAAACAATAAACAAAGTAAAACATAAATTTTAGTGTAAACAAAATAACAATATATTATTTTTCCATCTACAAAACTAACAAATTACTGATGAAAATAAGACAAACTCTTGACTGTAAGTGTTCTCAATGTAATTAAATATGTGGAGTTTGATGTATATTAATCCACACCTTAAAAGAGGTATAGTGCCATTTGCTCTCCCAAAGAAATTCAGTGATCGCCTTAACTCTTATACGAGTAACTTCTAGTGGGGTGGAGACCCAAAGGATAGAGGAATCCATTGGGCGAGTTGGGAGCGTCTCTCTTTAGCCAAATCCCAAGAGGGAATGGGATTTCGGGACTTTAAAGCTTTCAATCTAGCTCTTCTAACAAAACAGGCTTGAAGGTTGTTAAAATATCCCAATTCCCTTTGTGCTCAATTTCTGAAAGGACTCTATTACCTTTCTTCGGATGTTCTCTCAGCCGGCCACGGGAGACGGGCATCTTGTGCTTGGTCGAGCATTGTTCAATAGAGAGACCTTCTTCGTAAAGGCCTTAGATGACAAGTGGGAAATGGTTAGTTTATCAGATTTTGGGAGGATCAATGGATTCCTAGTTCTATTAATTTTACTCCTTAAAGCTTGAAACTAGTTGGGTGCCAAGTGCAATGGGTTGGGGATGCAATCATTCAAAATCGTAAGATTTGGGACAGAGAAAAACTAATGGGTATTGTCAACCAATAGAATGTTAAGAATATTTCTGCCATTCCTATCTCAATGGCGGGCCAACGTTGATATGACACTACATTAGCAAAGGCATTTATGAAGTCAAAAGTCGTTACCAGGTGGCAAAAAAAGTAATATCAAAATGAAATGGCCCCTTAGCTTCCTCTTCTGCCCAACCTCCTAAGAATTTCTGGAAATTTATTTGGTCTTTAAAGACACCTCCAAAAATTCGAAACTTCTGGTGGCGGGTTTGTAGCAACCGACTAGAGACCAAAGAAAATTTATTTCTTCGGAAATGTGCTCCCTCTCCATCTTGCCCTGTCTATCAACACTGTACCGAGTCCATTGAACACCTTCTTTTCCAGTGCAGTTGGGCGAGAGCTGTTTGGTTTGGGTGTAATCTGGGACTTCGAAATGGGAATGACCCAATTGTTGCAGGTCTCCAGTGGACCGTCTCCTTAATGCAAACTTGCTCAAATGATCGTGATCGAAGAGAGGTGCCGAGTCGGGCTGCCTTGGTTGGCTGGTGCATTTGGAAAGCCAGAAATGCATGGGTCTTCAACCATGGTTGTGTGGACCCGCAGCAGGTCGTTCGACAGGCCAGTGCTTCTTGGTGAGAAGTTCAGCATGTTCTACATCAATTTGAAGTGAATTTTTAGCAACATTCTCCTCCAGATAACTCTCATTACAGTTGGGTTCAACCTATTCCTAGCTCTATGAAGATTAATTATGACACCAGCTTCTCTATTCATGATGGCAGAGCGGCAATGGCTGTTATTTTGAGGGACGACCAAGGAAAGCTTGTTGATGAAGTAGTCTCCACTGTCTACTCTTCTTCTGTTAGACAAGGAGAAGCACATGCTATTCGCTTGGCTTGTCTTTTCCTCTAATCTCTGGGTCTTTCGATTATCCAAGTGGAAAGTGACAACAAAGAAGTGATTGCATTGTGTGTTTCTAAGCTTGTCCCTCTGTGGGACTATTTTGTTTATTATCCATGATATTCAGGTCTTGGGCTTATCCTTACAAGCCTCATTTGCTTGGATTCCAAAGGCAGCCAATGGAATAGGTCACTAGCTATCAAGGGCTCATCTTCGTGGTATTCTTCCCTTTGATTGGGTTGTAAACCCCCCTGTTGTTCTCTCGAAATTACTTTCTATTGATATTCCTCTGTACACTACAAGAAAAAGCATTTTTGCCGACCACTTTTAGCTACCAAAACTAATTTAGTCGCCAAAAGTCACGGAATTGGCTACCAAAAATAATATTAGTCGGCAAAAGTCAACTTTTTAGCTACCAATTTTTTTTAGTACGGGAATGTTGATTATTGGCTACTAAAAAAAATTTAGTAGCTAAAGATATTACAATTGGCGACTAAAACAATTTTTAGTAGCTAAACATATGACAATTGGCTACTAAATAAAAATTTAGTAGCCGTAGAGGTACCTTTAGCTACTAAATTGTTTGGTAGCTGAATGAAAATAAAAAAATTAATTTTTAATCTTTGCCGACCAAGATTTTGGTCGCCAAATGTTAACTTTCGGCGACAAAATTCCTTTTAGTCGCCAAAGACCTACCTTTAGCTACTAAATTATTTGGTAGCCGAATGAAAATAAAAAAATTAACAAAATAGTTATTTTATTTTATTAATAACAATACCATTAGTCTCCACTTGAAAATTTGACTAAACAAAATAGTTATTTTTATTTTTATTTTTAGGTTTAGGTTGTACACCCACCATCCAAAAATATTAATATCTTATTTTTTTTATTATCTCAAAATATTAATTTTTTAAAAAATTAATTATTAAAATAATATGAATTTCTTATTTTGTCCTTTTTTAAATCCATTAATAATACAAAAAGTACAATTATGACAATTGATATGTCTAAAAAAATATACTATCAAAAGGTAATTTTGAAAAATTAATATTTTTAAAATGTAATAATTGTATTATAAAAAGAAATTAAATTCTGAAAATAGACTATTATTTTTAGATGGAAGAAGTAGTCGGCTTTCATTTGATGGTTGAACACATCTTTTAATAATTGGGCCCTCACGCGAAAGGTATGCTAAAATGGGCAACTTGTTATTAGCTGTTTGTCGATAGTTTTACATTGCAAAAATTTAAAGGCATAGTTACAGGTCAGTCTGATGAATTTAATTTATCGAGCTCCTTCTCGATTTATCAATCCACTATAAGAAAATACACTTTTAGCAGCCACGTTGTCTATCTCTCTCTCTCGCTCTCTCTCTCTCTCTCTCTCTCTCTCTCTCTCTCTCTCTAAAATGTTGATTTAGATTTAGGAGCTCAAAGTGTTAAAGAAATGGTCAAGTGAGCTTAATGTGTTGTATATATAGTTATAATGCCAATATATATTAATTATAACATAAGGCTTGCCAAACGCAACTTAATTAATCAGATTGAATCAATTTTTAATTAAACTTACCATAACATTCTAAAAATTCTAAATAACATATTGATGTAACCAATTTCAGTTTCAGATATCGATAAGGCTTCTAATTTTCAGATCAAAACAGAATTCTTGATAGATATTACTACGAGTAACAGATAGAAAGCCAAATGACATACAAAGCACATAATAACACATAATTTTTTTTAATCCCTTCATTAGCATCCTTAATTACGGGTGAGTACTTAATTATGGATCGGGGTTGTTACACTGGGCATATCAGACTACGCTGAGAAGATCAACTAGGAAGTCTCCATTTGCCATGGCTTATGGCACTGAAGCAGTTATCCCACTAGAAGTCGGCATCCCTGGGACCAGAACACAAGGAGTAGAGAATGGGACTAATGAGACATACTTGGCCCGAGATTTGGACCTATTGGAGGAAAAAAGAGAGGGCATCAATTCGGCTGGGGGCATACCAACAATAACTTGCTAGGGCTTACAATAAGAAGGTCAACCCAAGAGAGTTTAAGGTTGGGGACCTCGTCCTAAGAAAGGTCGTTAGCAACAAGAAGGATCCCAAAGAGGGAAAACTTGTCCCAAACTAGGAAGGGCCTTATAGAATCATCTCGGTTACCGGCAATGGGACGTATCGGCTTGAATACACTGAGGGAAAAGAGTTGCCAAGACCCTGGAACACTTGCAACTTGAAGTTTTTTTATCATTAGTTTTTTGTTTTCGAAGTTTATATCATAATTTTATTAGCCGAAGTAATAAAAGCATGATAATTTGATTTTTATGATTTTTGAATTTATACGAGAGGACTGACCAGTCCTATGATGATGTTTCTGATTGAAGCATGACGAATAACTTAGACTTATTATATGGCAGAGTTGAATTATATTTGCATATAATAAAGTTGAACTAAGTTGGCGATGTTTCTTAATGAAACATGATGAATAACTTAAACTTATTATATGACAGAGTAGAATTATACTTATATATAATAGAGTTGAACTAAGTTAACGATGTTTCTAAATGAAACATGACGAATAAATTAGACTTATTATATGGCAGAGTTGAATTATACTTGTATATAATAGAGTTGAACTAAGTTGAACTAGTCTAGGTTTGCCATGTCGGTAGGGTTACACTCAGAATGGAGCTAAGTGTGCTTTTGTCGGGTTAACAAAGAAACCAAGGTTGAACACCTCGGCTAGTCTTTGTTTGAATCTGACTCCGGCGAAGGACTATAAATGCATAATGTGAACTTAAGAAGAACTTTGGTTCACATTAAATGGCAGGGAGCTAGAATGATTTAGGACATGTTAGAATTGGCTTAACATTTTTTGAAATTTCAAAAAAATTTACAAGCTGAAGTTAGCCGAGGTAATGTTGAAAGAAGTATCTGAGGTATATACTAGCCAAGATGGTATCAGAGCTACATACTAGCCGAGATGACTAACCAGGTTGCCAAGCCTGGAAAGGATGGAAGGATGAAGCCTTGATAGAAGACAACAAGTAGAAGTAAATAAGCAGTACTTGACTAAATAAGTTTAAAGAAACAAGCACTTGTAAAAATATCTCGAAATATTTTTAAATGTTAGCCAAGGTATTCTAAGTATTGGCCGAAACAAACAGTTAAGGCTTATATCCGAGGTACCCCACCCCGAGGTGATTCCACAGTTAAGCTGTGCTTTGAAGAAATGCAAAAAAATATTCTAAGTATAAAAACATGCATAGAAAAAAAACAGCAAACACACCTGAAGAAAAGCATTCAGCACTTAGAAGGAAATATAAAATTGGCATTCAGAAGATGGAACTTGTTCACAGGCAAAAAGGTACTTCAGCCTAGCAAAAAGACAACTTGTTCGGATACAAAAGAAAGCACATTGGCCAAATTGAAGCTTAAAATTGTTGAAACAAAATGAAGGCACAACTGAAAGAAGAAAAGTTCTAAGTAAAAGAAAAAGAAAATTCTAAGTGTTGGAGACATGGGCACTGTTTTCAGATTGCTCAACCTCAGTTGTTGGCGTTGTGGCGACCTTGGTTAGCAAGGTGTCTTCCTTCTCAACCGCTATCTCGCCATCAATTTTCAGCAAGGTCTGGTCCAAGCTCTTCTCGACTGTCTGGACCTCGGCCTCAGAAGTTGTTTGTTTGGGAGAGGGTGCCTTGGAAACTAAGTCTTCCTCCTCATCATGAGTCAACTCTAGGACTTGATCATTCAGTGTTGAAGACTTGGCCCTAACAGCAACCCCCTCACCTCTTCAGCATCCTCTGCGTCGGTTTCCTCCTCGTTAGCTTCCCTGTCTGACTCTTTGGAAGTCAGAGGGAAAAGCACTCAAAGTTTGTTGATATCTCGGAGGTCGGAGTCCATGGGGACAGATAATTTGTTGAGGGCTGCAGTCCAGCCGAGATAGAAGCCTCGGTTACAGGCTTAGTTAACTTGACCTTTGTACGTGTCACAGACTGCAACTTGTCCCTTTGAGAAGGCCTTCTCGTCGGTCGCCTTGATCTCGGCTTCCTTCGCGACCAGCACTTCTTGGAGCTCTGTCTTGACCTTGATAGTTTTCTCCTCGGCATCCTTGATCTCAAATCTTAACACTTTGCCTACAGCCTCGGTTGCCTCAGCTTTTTCCGTAGCTTGGTCCTGGGCTCGTCTGGCTACCTTGGCCTGATCAAGCAAAACCTTGATTTTGGCCTCAGCGTTGTTTAGAGTAAAGAAAAAGCCAGCAATTTTCATGGTTTTGTGCACTAACTCTTCTTTGAAAGCCTCAGCTTTCGTAGCGAATGAATTGATGCATTGGATAGCCTACAAGGAAAGAAACGAATAAGTTAACATAAAGAAATTAAAAAACAAAATAAAAAAGTACCAAGTGTTGGGTGCCTACCAAAACAGAATGCTACATCATCAGAGAAAAATTTTCATATTCATTGATGTCGGCTATACTATTGAGATCGGTTAGAAGGAGCACGACTGTAGAGAGAGTGGCACTAACTTTAATATTATCGATGGCACTGTCACCAGCCTTCATTGGCTGATCCCCAACCATGATGGCTGGGCCCTAGGCCTCATTGGCTTTAAATGCACCCGAGGTTGCCACAGCTTTGGACCTCGACTTCTTTGACCAAGCAGTATCAGTTGAATCGGCCTCAGCATGCCTCTTCTTGGTAGTAGGGACTATTTTCTCGATCTCGGTGAGCTTTAAGATTGGTACTATATCTTTCGATTCGACTTGGGTGGCAAAGGCTTTTGCCTTAGCCCTCTTTACCCTTTTTTGTTTTGGTTTTTGTTAAGACTGAGATGGTGAAGAAGAGGCGACAGTGACCACTCCTGGCAAGTCGGCCAAGAGGTCCTCAACAACTGTTTTTCAGCCCATGTCTTCCGCAGTAACAACAAGGGTGACTTTGGTTTCGAAGTGAATAGCTGGCAAGGCAGTTGAGGGGTTCGCTGGATCATAAGCGACGCCTCCGAATCTTGACATTTATGGTTACGAGTCCTGCCTGCTGGTACGTTTGTTGGGGCACGACATCGGCGTCAGCGCTGGGATGTCGGGATAAATTGAGGGCAAAGGTAGATAACAGCTCAACTAGATCCAAGGAGGAGGCCTGGTCTGGCCTGGGTGATGAAGTGGTTGGAGGAGTTGTAGCAGAAGAAGAAGTCTTGCTTCAGTGTGGAACGTCGGACATGGCCAATTTATAGGTCGGGATATAATCAGGCAGTAGTGGGGCCTTAAATTTTTCAACTGGAAAATCTAATAGCTTTTTCAGATCCTTGCTGGGGAAAAAAGTTTGTCAAAAATCCTTTGCCGGCTGAAGAAGAGCTGCAAAAAAAGAACAAGAAGAAAAAACGTTCAAATAGGGATATATGAGTTAACATGTCTTAAACAAAAAAAACATTAAAAGGAAAATTCAATTCTTACTATCACCTTCTTTAAACACCGATCGGCGCAGAGGGAAAAGATGAAGATCATCATCAGGAGCAAACTCCCAGTTGCCCGAGACAATGAGGTAATCATCTCCAGGACCCTTGTTGGAGTTTGGGAGGTCAGCTATGATTTTATATGCTGTGGATCTGGGTTTTAGGTAGTAAATGTAGCCTTAATTCAGACTTTAGGCTACACATGGTATAACAATATTGAATGTCAGCTAAAGTGATCCTGGTCTTTTCTCAGTGTGTCAGTTCGATTATACCATTGATAACCCTATATGAGTTGATGGCAAGTTGCATGGGGTTAAGTTTGTAATAGTGAAGGACCTCACGGAAAAGAGTGTCTAAAGGAAACCAAAGTTCACACTCTATAAAGGCAACTACGAGGAAGGTCATGGAGTACCCGTCGAGGATGATGGAGTCTTCCTCCCCAGCTAACCTAAGTTGGACGTTGGCGAGGATAGAAAATTCTCTACTAAAGTGCTCAAGTTTTTCTAGGGTATCCAGTCTCTACCTAAACATACCCATTATCTCAGCTAAAGTGGTAGGATAACAGAGTGATAGATATAGGGTTGAATACCTCGGCTAAAAACCTAAAACTGGAACTGGGGCGAGGGTTTTTGAAAATCAAAAGGGGATTTGTTTCAATTTTCCTAAAGAATGTGATTTCTATCAAATCCCAAACCTAAGTCTATATGGAAACAAGAATCAAAGGTAAGAATCTAGAAACAAGTCAAAGAAAAATAGAAAAGAACATGATTCAAAATCAATAAAGCAACATTTTTTAAGAAACACTGAGTAGGTGTGTGCGGATGTGCAAAAGCTAAGAACAGTGGCAAAATTGTTAAAGCTTCAAAGTTATGAACACTACATACATATATGCGAGAATCACGAACAGTGTGAATAGACACAAGGATATATTGAACAGCACGAATCACAGACAAACACAAGATTCAAAATACAACAAAGATTCAAGCACAAAAACTAATTTGCAATGACAGCGAACAACATGAAAATAGGTAACAGATTTGAAACAAATCAAAGGAATAATGAAAGACTGAACTTAAAGAGGAAAGAAATTGTGAACTTACCAAAAGAAATGAGCGCCGATATGGGGATCGCCGGAGTCAAACAGCGCGAATGGCTAGAAACTGATGATGAAAAGTCGCCGGAGAGGGTAATCGGAGCAAGTGCAGAGCTTCAAAGGTATGAAAATGACAAAATCTAGAGAACGAAAATTTGATCACAAGAGAGAGAAATCAATTTTTTTGCAAAAGTGAAGAGGCAAGGAGAAAGAGAAAGAGTTTTTTTAAAACTTGAAAAGGTGGCAAACCATAACGAAGTGCCTTGGATGACATGCTTGTCAGGCGGCGTGCGCAAAAGCGACACGACCTGATAGCTCGTGTCAGGTACGAACCAATGAGAAAGGGATGCATGAAGGAAATGGTTGAGTAAACTGTGTGTGACAGCTCATGCGCAGTCAAAACCATTGGAGTTCTTGATTAATGAAGCAAAAACCTCGGCTAGAGGAGCGATCCCGATTGGGATGTTTAAAGAACTAGACTCTGGGTTCTTGATCTTTGATAAAGATGGACAGTTGAGTCCTGGGAACTTAAAACCGACAAGTAGTGACTTCGGTAGAAGGGAAGAATGAATTCTATATGACATGGTGTATAAGCAAGAGGTGTAGGTTCCATCATCTCAGGTTGCTGAGGTAATAGAACCTAGGGGGCAGTTGTGGGGACATATTTTGTAAATGACAGCACGTGGCTAAGGTGACGCCGGAGTGTCAATCAAGGTGCCACGTGGCCTGGTCCTGGTGCCGAGGTGATCCTGGCTAGGCCGAGGTTACCCACGGAGATCCCGAAATCCGAGATAAGCGGATAAGGGGCAAAGAGTCCTAGAACAGAGGAGGGTCTCAGTCTGGATAAAGATAAAGCTCTTAAGGAGTTTATCCCTATCTAGCTAAGAGTCCAAGATGAGCATTGAACCTGAGTCCATTGAAGTTATCCCTTTACAGGGATTAGATCAGTGCTGGTTATAAAAGTAGGGCACCCTCGTGGGTCTGGCGTAAGTTCTTTTTGGTGAGTTTAAGCACAATTTGCTATCTTTGAGAGATATTTGTTTACTGACTTGAGCGTCGGAGTGCCCCCGGGTGGACGAACCACCGTCGGATTCTTATCTTTCTCTGACAGGTTGTTCGAGCTTAATCTATTTTGCCGGTGCTCTCCAGCTGAGTTCCTTGTTTGGTTGTGTGGTCAAAAATCAACACCCACAACATCCTCTATGCTATGGAATTTCAAAATTAATTGCAATCCAAACAAATAGAGCTTCAACTTATCTCATCACCACCAAACAGAAACACAATTGAACTTTACTATTATAAACAAAAAGAACAAAAAAGTAAAAGAAAAAAGAGACATAACAAAATTGGAAGTATAACATAAAAGCAACAAACAGGCAAACAAAATTAAATTAAAATAAACAAATCCAAATAATGTCACTCCAAATTCCTAGCAAAAAAAAAAAAAAAAGTGTGAACTAAGTATCATCAATGTGAACTAAGAATCTACCAGAAGGATCTCAAGTAGGCTAAGAATTTCTTATTTCATTAAAATTGAACAAAATTAAATTAAAGTATATTAGTAGTATTTGTAACACATTAGTGTAGAAAACACAAAATCATACTTAAATCACCAATGGATCAAACTCCATTATGCACAAAAAAATTAATAATTTCAATTTCAATAAATATATATGTATAAATTGCTGCAAAATACAAAGAATATATAGAAAGAGAGGAAGAAAAAAAAACATGCTAGAGATTAATCGAAGGAAATACCTAAAAATGTTGATTTTGTGTTGCCCTAGAGAGATCATTTTGGACAGTCCAAGGGGCGATCTGAGTGACAATGAATGAAAAATAGAGATTTCAAAGGAACCATAAAGAGAGAGCAAGAGATTGAGAAACAGAGAAAGAAAGCAAGATTGAGAGAGACAGAGAGCGATAGAGAACGAGATTGAGAGGTCGAGAGAGTTCATACTGCCATTTCCTTGTTTAATCTCAAAAGTGAACTGTGGAAAAGAGGTTGAAGTTGGATTTGACGATGAAAATGACAGAATCGGGGCTGGCGTCTCGAGGTCTGAATAAGAATGATCTCTACTGGTTCTGATCATCAAACCCTAATAGCTCCAACATTGTTTTTTGTTGCTTCTCATCACAATCTTAGAGAGAGAGATGGAGAGAGAGAGAGAGGGAGAGAGAGCGAGAGAGCGAGCGAGCGAGAGAGAGAGAGAGAGAAAGTGACCATGGCGAGCGAGAGTGACAGAGAACTCTGTTTGTGAATTCTAGGGAAAGTTACAGTGAAAAGGGTTAGGGCATAGGAATAAGAAAAATGCAAAATAAATAGTAAAAGAAAAAATTATGAAGTTTTCATTTGCAAATATTATTTTTTGCGACGATAAAATAATCAATTGCAAAAAATTAGTCACAAAAAATTACTTTTCTAGTAGTGTCTAAACCCAACTCTAGTGACGTGGAAATTCAAAAAAATAAAAAATAAAAAGATCAAAACATCATATCACATGAGGTCCACCACAAATTAGATCTTTCTAGAGCTCACAAATTAAAGCTCTCAATTATTTTTGATATAGAAAAATATAAACACAAAACCTTTAGAACACTTATGGTCAAAGAGATTTGAGAGACAAAGAAAAATAGAGAAACATATTTGATAAACATGAAAAAAAATCAACCATTAAAAAATAAAAGCATAGCAATTGAAATCACTTACACAAAAATTTTACTAAGGCTCCAAACCTAGGCCAAATTGAAACGTAAAAAAAAAATAAAAAAAAATGAAAATAAAAATAAAGAAAAAAAATTTTAGATATAAGAAAAAGAAAAAGACAAACTGAACAATTTCAATAAATAAATTTTTTTAAAAAAAATCAGAAATTAATGGCAGAGTCTAAGCTCTTACCTTTCTAATTAGAAAACAAACAAAAGCTTTAAAACGAAAAACTGGGGGGGAGGGGGGGGGAAATTTAAATACAAGCATACAAGTAGAATAAATACCAGACTCCTTACAAATCTCTATGTATTTTCTCATGCTATACTCT